ATTATTATTATTATTATGCCAACACCCTGTCCCCAAGCAAGATGACTTGGGAGGGGAGCTGTTCCTATTTCTTGCCCCCTGCCTTGTCAGAAGCTGTGCCCTAACAATGGAGGGTCCCAATGGATTTAGGCAGTCCATTTGGCCCAAGAGTAGTGGTTTTGTGGCTCCTGTGGAAAAGGGATGATTAATTGACTCTGGATTTTAGTCTGAACTCTCTAGGAGACAGTCTCTTTCCCTGGAGGGTTTGAAGCAGTGGCTGGATGGCCATTGGTCACAGGGAGGGCTTGGATTTTGTATTCCTGCATGGCACATTGGGGTTGGACTGGATGACCCTTGGGATCCCTTCCAGCTCTAGGATTCTATTATCTTTCTTGGGAGGCTTTTCAGCAGAGTCTGGATGGCCATTGGTCACAGGGAGGGATGAAATGGGCATCTGTCACAGGGAGGGCTTGGATTTTGTATTCCTGCATGGCACACTGGGGTTGGACTGGATGACCCTTGGGTTCCCTTCCCGCTCTAGGATTCCATTTCTGTTTTGAAGCAGAGGCTGGATGGGCTTGGATGGTGCCTCCCTGCGTGGCAGAAGAAAGGGGTTGGGCTGGATAGCCTTTGGGTGCCCCTTCCAGGCCTAGGAGTCTCTCCAGCTGCCTTTGGGAGGTCGGGCTAGAGGCTCTCCAGGGTGCTGAAAGCAGGGCCAGAGAGGCTGGGCGGGAGGGCTGGGCTGCAGCAAGGCCGGGGGATGCTGGGCCTTGCAGTGCCCTTCCCAGGCTGCCCCCTCCTTGCTCACCAGCACGGCCAGCCTGAGCCCCAGCTGGACCAGGAGGATGAGGGCCACCAGCACCAGGAGGGTCTCATGGAGGGCCAGGCAGCAGGCCACCTCCTCCTCCTCCTCCAGGAGGGTCTCCTGGCAGGGCGGCGGGGTCAGGGGGCCCATGGCCTCCCCTCCTCCCTCGGCCCCGCTCCGATAGACGATGCCTGGACTGGGAAGGGCGCCCTGGGGGCCGGGGACCAGGAGCCAGCCCCGCTTGTGATGCGCCATTGTGACCCGGCGGCGGCAGGACCCTGCGGAACAGGCAGGCAGGCAGGGAGGGGAGGGGAGGGGGCTTCCCTGCCTTTGCCTTTGCCCTTCCCTTCCCTTCCCTTTTATTTATTATTTATTTATCACTTTTTAAAACCCATGGCTGTATTCCGCCTTTCCCCCAGTAAAGAG